TTTCCAGTTTATTATCGCTTTGTGGCCCACGTGTGATAACGTCTCTAGACTATGATTCTGGAGATCAGGGTTCAATTCCCTGCTTGAGCAAAAAAACCCACTGGGTGACCTTTGGCAGTCACACTCTCTCAGCCTCCAAGGATGGCAATGTCCTTCTGAAGAAATTTGCCAAGAAAACCCTATGATGGGGTTGTCATAAGTCAAAAATTGTGTGGAAGCACACAACAACAAGCACTATGAATTAGGGTGATAGTTTTAAATCTTAACACAAACAATCTAATTTATAACCAAAATAATATACAATGAAATATAAATTGGAGGGGAAGAAGGAGAATGATCAGGAGCAGGAAAAGGAGGAGGAGGAGGAGGAGGAAGGAAGGAAAATAAGAGAATGAGAGAATAAGAATTAGAAGGGAGGCGAATAATAATAAATTAATAAATAATAAATTTTATTTATCCCCCGCCCCTCTGTCAGAGAATCGCATGTGGAATGGTATGGAAAGACGTACAATTAATACACTGTAAGGCTCTGACCCAGGAGTAGGCAACCTAAGGCCCAGGGGCCAGATGCGGCCCCCCCGAGGCCTTTGGACCGGCCCCAGGCCAGTTCTGGTGCTGCCGCCACCACCCACCATGATGATATTGATTATTGTTATTATTTGTTCTTGAGGTTTTCTTGGCAAAATCTCCACAGGGGTTTTGCAATAGCTTTTCTGGGGCTGAGAGAGTGTGCATGCATCTTTTTTAAAAAAAATTTAAAAAAATAAATTTTTAAATTGTTATTTTTTTTGTTTTTTATTTATTTTTGGTGCTTCGGCCCCCCAATTGTCTGAGGGACAGCAACCTGGCCCCCGGCTCAAAAAGGTTGCCTACCCCTGCTCTGACCCCATAATCCTGACTGTAATGAAAATGAAAATAAAAACAAGAAAAATGACATTCAACCATTACAGATCCAAATGATCCTACTAAATTTACTAATAATCCTACTAATTACAGTAAGTAAAGTACTAATCATGATAGCTACAGGTTATTACACAATTAGATTTCTTATTCCTAAAAAAGTACATACAGGGTTTCTAGTCTTTCAAAAAGTTTTCCTTTGGCTTATCCTTTAGAACCCATATTCATTTGGCTAACTCATCAACCTTAACAATCCATTCTTCCATTGTTGGTGCTTCAATCCATTTCCAAGTTTGAGCAAACAATATTCTTGCTGCTGTTGTCCTATATATAGATTTAGTAATGATACCAGAAATATTTTTGTTGGGGATTATGGATAAAGAACTGAATAGAAAATATGGATCACTTCTTCGCTATATGAATTAGGGTGATTATGACAGAGACTAGAGCAGAGGTAGAAAATTTGATGCTCTTTGGATGTTGTTGGAGCTCCCAGCATTCCTCATCTCTGCTGCTAGGGGTTGATGGGAGAAGCAGTCCCAAAACCTGGCAGGCTGCACAATTCCTACTGCTCCTGACTTAAAGGCTTGTCACCTTGGACTTTCTCACAAGAAACGATCCTGATTTTAAAGAGACAGACATTGTGTCCTGCGGCATGGTACCTCTGCTAGAATGGTGTTTGAGGGAGAGGTGCTTATAATGATGGAACTCCTTTCCTTGCTATTTATCTGGAACAGGAAACATAAGGAAACACATTCTTGGGAGCTGGCCTAGCAGGGAATAGGCAATGATGTAGAAACTGCTTACCTCTCATCTGGGAGTGCTCTTGCTTTTCCAAATTATGTGCATTAATTACGTTCACCCGAGGCCGGGTGGGGCAAAAGTGGTACTTGTGAAACTTCTGGTGCGTAGGTGTTCTCTCCATCCTGTTGCTTATTGTTCCAGGATTGTTCATTATATACAGGAGACACCTTCTCTTCTACGCACTGAGGGCTTCATTGGTACCAAGACCATGCAAGGCTTATGGAAAGGTGGTGTGCTGCTAATAGCACTCTATTTGGCTTCCTACCAAGGTAAGGCTTGGCAGCTGATTTGCCTTGGGAGACCCATAGAACATGCAGAAGAGGGTAGTAGGTGGACTTTTCCCCCCTGACCCATGAAACATAAAAATGTATTCTGAGTCCAAGGAAGTATGAATTTTTCGAGGGGCACTTGAATGGTAAAATGTTTTATGAAAGGGGTGGATGGGTGAGTTCTCAGATAAAGTATCTTAACTTTATCAGCTCCTCCTGTGCACAAGATAATTTCACCATTCTCCCTGTGAAGCACCTCCTTAGTTGCTCAGAAAGAATGACTTGCCTTGCATGTGTCTTAATATTCTCCTACTTCTATGGATTTTCTTTTACTCAACTAGCCTCTAAATGTTGACATTTACAAGGGGTGACTGTGTTCCATTATCTGCAAAAGCCTTGACTTGAGAGTAGATTTAGAACAGAGATGGGGAATGTGAATGGGGGCAGTGGTGACACCAGGGGGATGCAGGGGGTGCAGCCCACACCAGGTGACACCCTTCTTCCTTTTGGCAGAAACGGGCTGTGGCATTCACCTGCTTCCCTTTAAAAT